AAGCAACCTGCCGCGCAAGCTGCTTGGCGCTTTTTTTTGGCTTCCCCTGTTTAAAAACGAGGTGAAAGGCAAGAAGGCCAACGCGTGGCAATGGTTTGTAGGCAAAACAGAAAAAACGGGCCAATTCCCAAAGTCCGACTTGCCCTTTGGCCAAAAAAAAAGCCATTCTTTTTTCAGGTAAAGGGGACAAAAGGGAAGCAGGCCTTATTTAAGTTTTCTGCTTTTGCAAAAGATGGGGGGGGGAGAAAAGAAGAGTTTGGAGTTTGGGGAGGGCCTGGGAAGAGGGAAAAAATGGCCAGGAAAATTGCCTTTGCCCCAAAGTGACCGACAAAAGGTGGCCTGGAAAAGACAAGCCAAGGTTGTTTTTGCGTGTTCTGGGTCTGGTGAATTAAAAACCTTGCTTCCCTGAGGGCTTGTTTTTGCCCTTTCCCTTGCCCCAAGGGAAAGAGGCCCCAGCGAGATCGCTTCACACCTTTTTGCCCCCTCTTGGCCTTGCAGCCCCAGGGGGGGGAAAACCGCTGACGAAAACGAGGCGCGTGGGCCCGTTTACCAGCCGGCTTGTCCGCTCGCTTTTTGGCACCACCGGTGCTGGGCGCGCATGGCAAAAACTGGCGGACAACTTCGTTACCCCTCAACGCCAAAAGTTTTTTAGCTCTTGCAAAACTCGTCCGCTGGAGGTTCGAACGAGGTGGAAACCCCTCTTAAAGGCTAACGGTGAAAGGTTGGTTAAGCTGGGGTTTTGCTCGGGGTGACATCAATGTTTCTTTCTACGGGAAAACCTGAAAGGGTTGGGTGGGGAGGGGCAGGGCTTCGCGGTGTTCCCGGCCCCCTTTGAGGGGATTCTCCACCCGGACCCCAGAGGCCTTGGGTTTTTCCAGAAAGCGCCTTTCCTTAGGAAAATGGCCCAGAGTGCCCCTTCCTGCGTTTGGGAAAGCTCTGACGCAACCCAGGCGTGGAGGAAGCGGCAAAAGGTTAAAGCAAGGTAAAAAAAAAAAAAAAAAGCCCCAAAAGCTCCCAGGATGGGCCAAGGGCCGCCATTTCCTTGTCAAGAAAAAAAAAAAAAAAAAAAACTTCAAGGTCTCCATGGCCAAGGGAAGGGGCTGTGACACATTTTGAAAAGTGGGGCCAGGATGGAAGGACTTGCTGGGTAAAAAGAAAAGGGGATTGTTTAGTCAAGGGGGCCCTTCCTGGAAGGGGGCACGGTTTGACACCCAAAAAAGCTGAAGTCTTTGACAGGTCAAAAGGTTTGTCAAGGTGGCAATTTTTTAAAAACAAAAAAAAGAAAAAAAACAGGGGTCGGGAAAAGGAGAAAGAGTTTGACAAATGTTTTCCAAGAAGAGGAAAGCGCGAAGATCAATCCTTCACAGTTTTGAGAAAAAATTTCCACGTTTTGCAAAAAAATTGAAATGCCAAAAGAAGCGCCAAAAGAAATTTCCTTGGCGGCACTCCTTCTAGGGAAAGGCGCTTTTGCCCAGGGTTGCCAAGCCTGGCAACTGAGCAAAAAAACTCGCTTCTTGAAGTTCCCGAAAAAGGACAACGCGTTGGAAAATCTTTCACCAAGTTCCAACCCAGGAAGGGGGGGCTTGGGGGGAAGCCAGTGTTCTTCATCCCAAAAAATTGGATTTTCAACCAAGGAAAAACCAGGGGAAAAAAACCCCAAAAGCTTCAGGGCAAGGTTTTTTGCAGTTTGCGGGCGGGGGGCCCCAAAAAAAGCCAAAAAGCGCAAGGGCGATGCCTTGTTTAGAGTCGGGTGGTGTCTCGAGGGGAAGGTTGCGGTTTTTTTGCTTTCCCTGCTTTGCGCCCCCAGGCCCTTGAGGGGGTTTGGAAGAAAGCGTGGGGGGATGGCAAGGGACTTGAGAAACCTGGTGGTTTTGTCGTGCCCCCGCCCATCTGCCCAGCGGGCACCGCCCCTCCTTAGCATCACACCAGCCTCGTGTCAGTGCTCCTTACGGGCTGAGGGGCCAGGGCACTCCAGTCCAGGGTCCGAGATCTTGGGGGCCTTAGAACAACATGGGGAGCTGGGGCACCCCTAAGACCCTGCCCTGTATACCCCACCGCAGGCCTGGGGCTGCCCGGGAGGCCCCCGCCCAGTACTGGCGACACTTGGTGGTCAGACGTGGTTTCTGTGGCCTCCCGAGTCCCAGCCAGACAGAGAGGTGCCAAGTATCAGGCCCAGGGGGACGCTGCTCACCGCTCAGGGGCTCGCCTGGGACCCAGGGGGACGGACCTCCCAGAAGAGGCCTTTATCATCTCTCTTGGCAACTTGCCGCCACCTCTCGCCTGTCAAGAAGACGACAGTATCACTGAGAAACAAGCCACGGTTGGGGAGATCGGAGGGACAGGATGGACTACCATATACACATCCTTCGCAAACCAGACATCACATATCCCATACACACCCATCCTTATACATACGCACAGCTCCTCCTTCCATGCAAGTCACTCACATCCCACACACATAATCATCTCTCAACAACAGAGCGCGCGAAGCGAAACACTCTCTGACGACTCTGAACAAGAGACACTACGGGAAGACTACATAGACACAATCTGCACGCTGGCACTGCGAAAGAGGTGAAGGATGCCCTCTGTCCCTCGATCCCCAACGCGTGGATACTTGAGCCTCTCAGAGTACTATACTTGGCGCTTCCCTTCTCAACTCGCAGCGGCGGAGTGGGCGCCGACAAGCTTGACCCCTCCTGGGAGGTCGTCCCCAAAACTGGGAAATAAGAGACAGACCCCAAACTGAGACGGAAAAGAGCAGAGTCCCCAACTGAGGACCTAGATAAAAAACTCATCGAAAGACACCAATCCAAACTGATCTATAGAGGACTATAGAGAGAGAAGAAAACAACACGAAAAAACAAACAGAATCTCATAGACCAACACATAGGTGAACAGCCAGAGGATACTGGGTAAGGAGAGAGAGCAAGGAAGACTCACCAAGGGCAGAAAAAACACCAAGGCTGCAGGATGAAAGAAACAAAAACAAAGAGAGAGTACTATAGAGATGAGAGGACACACTCACATAGAATAAGTTCATAAAGAGACAAACAACACACTCAACACATAGGACTGGAGTGCCCATCGGCCACCTCAGCCATAAAACGAGCACCTCCGAACCAGCTGCGTGGTGATGCTAAGCAGAGGGAGCGGTGACCGCTGGGCAGAATGGGTGGAGAACACAGTTTCAGTCATGCCAAATCCCAGCTCTCCAACCCTTTGCAGGGCTGGAGGCAGAGGGAGCACAGCACCTCCCCTCAGAACATCACCCGACCTAACAACGGCCTCAGGCCTCCGCTGTCTGGGGCCCGCCCCACTGCACCGCCCTGAGCTGGGAGGTTTCCCTGTCTGTGAAGCCCAATGGACAGACACTGGTACCGACACCCACAGCCTCTCATACCTGGGTGAATCTTGACAGATTCAAACGTCAGGTGCTCGCACAGACTGCCAGGACAGGAGTTGCTCACAAGTGCCAGGCTAGCCACCAACTAGGCATGCTTCATAGAGGAGCGCCAGATGTCTGGGTTGGATCTGCAACGTGGATATCAACT